AAGAACGGCTCCTAGTTTATGAGTACATGAGGTATGGAAGCTTAGAGGATGTTTTACATGATCAAAAGAAAGCTGGGATCAAACTGAATTGGGCAGCAAGGAGAAAGATTGCCATTGGAGCTGCAAGAGGTCTGGCTTTTCTTCACCATAATTGCATTCCTCATATAATTCATAGAGATATGAAATCGAGCAATGTCCTACTCGATGAGAATTTGGAGGCCAGAGTCTCAGATTTTGGGATGGCAAGGCTGATGAGTGCTATGGACACGCATTTGAGTGTCAGCACATTAGCAGGTACCCCTGGCTATGTTCCTCCTGAATATTACCAGAGCTTTAGATGTTCTACAAAAGGTGATGTTTACAGTTACGGTGTAGTTTTGCTCGAGTTGCTTACAGGGAAAAGACCTACAGATTCTGCTGATTTTGGTGATAACAATCTTGTGGGGTGGGTGAAACAGCATGCAAAACTTAGACTTAGTGATGTCTTTGATCCAGAGCTAATGAAAGAGGACCCGAGCCTTGAGATTGAGCTTTTACAACACTTTAAGGTTGCTTGTGCTTGCTTGGATGATCGACCATGGAGACGTCCCACAATGATTCAAGTCATGGCAATGTTCAAGGAAATACAAACAGGGTCTGGACTTGACTCCCAGTCGACCATTGCCACCGAGGATGGAGGCTTTACTGCAGTTGAAATGGTAGAGATGACCATAAAAGAAGTCCCTGAAGGTAAGCAGTAGATGAAACAAGTTCAACCCAATTTTCAAGAGAAATTCTTTGAAGATAAGAAGAAAGAAGCAGGTGGTGATGATTCATTCAGCTCCCACAAAATTTTCCCACTTCTTTACATCTTCAAACTTGGCATAGAACTGCCCTTTGTATCTCTACCATTTGATGTATCTATCTTGTATCCCTCCCAAAAAACTTGTTATTTATACATAAAAAGGTTGTTTAACTTGTTATAAATGTGTAAATATACAGTTCCCCAGTTGTTATGCTGTTTTATTTCCCAGTTTTTTCTTTATGAAGAGAAATTTGTTTTAGATATTAAATCCTCAAAAAGGAACCTCCTAGTCCCTGGATCAGTTACCTCAGTGATGGTGACTAAGTGAAGGGTTCGTTTGGCCCCTTCTTCAGGTTGCTTGATTTGTTTTCATTCTCTCTTTTATCATATTCCAACTTTATTCCATATATATACATTGCCTGGCAACAAATCTTATTCTAAATTCAGAAGTGTGTTTGTATAACTATATCTTCCAAGTTATATAGGCTATTCTTGCTCATGTTTCCTAAGAATTTTCCTTTCTCTTGCCTGATAATTCTCCAAGAAAAATTATGTGTATTTTCTATCTAGGTGTGAAGGAACAGAGTTTGGTTGGGGTCAATCAGTTTTAAGTGCTGTGGGGTTCTTTATCTTTATAATTGTCCAAATTTCTGCATTTTGGTCCTATGATTAATTCTTTTTTCCTCATTTTCCATTTTTCAAAATTTAAAATGACAGCATAGAGACACAATCCTAAATCTTTCTTGCTACCCATTTTTCCAAATACTCTTACCAGGATGACATAGTTAACTTAGACTTGATTCCCCATTACTATCTTCAATTCAACTTTCATATTCATTGAAGGTAACCTTTTTCTGTGTGTTTTGGTTTGGAAGCTATTTGCATGGCAGTAAGCATGGAATTTGTAACGAAGCAAAGTGGACGTGTGGCAAGCATTAAAAGACAAGGATCCCACCAAGGGGCAGGGCCAACTACAGAAGAATTTTGAGTGCCAAAAATCATTGTGCTGTAGATAATCATGATTCATGGACCATTTTTTGCTGTGGAAACTTTATCCTCTGCTCCTTAAGTAGTTTTCCCATGATTCATATCCAAAGGCTGGACCATCCGTAATCAAACCTAACTATCATATTATAAAACGCTATACATAACATCGTGGCACACTCACTAGAGTCGAGTATTTCAAGATTAACAAGCTCTAAAGATTTTTGCCCTGTTTCCAAATACAAAATTGATTAACTTTTGTCTTTTTTTCATGCACCGCACGTGCGCCTGCCCTTAGATATGAACAATTTCTTCTCTGGATTTCTAGCTAGGCTATGTGTTCCCCCTCCTTTTTGAGCTCAGGGCTCTCCTTTTGTTATAGATATAAATATATATACATTAATGAAGTTACATTTCAGGGTTTATTATTATCTATGAGAGTACAATGATTTTGAAGAATAAGACATGTGCAGTGTAATGGGTTCATAAGATTAAATTAAATGCACTCGCAATTTAATTTCATTTTGTTGATCAAAAACGTCATATTTGAAGTTTTATGTGACATTTAGTTGGGAATCTAGAATCTTTGTTCACATCAGGGAAAGAAGAGAGATCAGACTTGGTTGGGCAGATTCTGAGGGTTTTCTTTTTTTTTTCTGCATGAAATTTAGAGTTTGATCATTTGATTGGAATATTGTGTGAGAAAAGTGCATGAACTGACTTTCTAACAAAGGTTGTCACTCTTTTGCTGAAAATAGGGTGAAAAAGTACTCATAAGTGTATTGCTGCTTTGGAAGGTGCTTCCTTTTTTGAAAAATAAAAAGGTTGAGTGAAGGAATGCAGTAAAAAGATGCTGGAAACCCAGGAGGAATTTATCGATGGGTATGTTTTCCAATTTTTTTTTTTTGATAGAGACACTTATCAAAAATTAAAATAAAATTTATTTAAATAATTATATCAACTCTTAATTTTTATTTTTAAATTAATAGATTATCAATCAAGAATTAAACTTAACAATAACTTCATATATTTCTTAATTTAATAATTCTCTCTTCTCGTCGGATATAAAAAAAATGAATTAATATCTATACATAGTTAGATCATCAAATCTCTTCAAAAAAAAAAACTATAATTAATTAAACCACACACATGAATTTATGAATCTCAGATCCCATTAGAAAGGAATAAAATTTTCAATTTTTTCCCTACTTTCAATTAAACTAAACCAACAATGAATTTATAAAGCTTATTTACTTGCTGACCCTTAGCTGTCTAAGAAATTAACCATTAGAGTTGTCTTAAATACTTATACATACATATATATATATATATATATATATATATATATATATGTTTCTGTGTTGTTTTGTGCTGTTCCATGGCGTGGGTTACAACTTCAACCCGAATGCGAAACTATAGTTAACGGATTAATTACAACCTACCATTAATAAAGTAATAATACACATAAATCGTCGTGATTAGTACATACGATAGTATTTTAAGTCGCAAGAATTTAAATTTAAGATCTCAATTTATGGATTGGTGCGGATGTTCCCATACGGAGATGGTACCTATTTAGTACCATTATTTTTAGTATATTTCCATTACATTATTTCATTATCTTAATTATATTATATAAGTTTCTGAAAAAAAAAGTATTATAATATAAAGTACGTATAACTAAGAATTACTGTGGGTTTGGTGTATAAATAAAACTTTCGCCCATCATATCTCATTATATTTTTTACTTGTGTAATTACTCTAAATAATAAAATTGTTTGATGAATGGAAGCATCAATTGCATGTTGCAATTAAACATGAAAGAGATACTTTCGATGCTTCACATCCAAGCTTAATTGGACAAATTTTCTGGCAGGATTAAGTAAATGACTTGACCTAGCTTAAATTAAAGAAAACCAAAGCAAGTAATTAATCTTTCATTGTCGTTGCACACGTTGGCTTTAAATGTGCTGCAATGAGTCACCCGTGAAATCAAAATCAACACGCCCCGTTCGGATAGGAATTAACGCTGCAGTATGCTTCACCTTTGGTTGTATGAAAACGATTCTCCTATGGTGTGTTCAACGTGAACATAATCTGTTTTACTCAAACAAAAAACAAATGAATTAATATAAAGTCAGAATAAGGATTATTTAATCGATTATTTTTTTGTTTTATTATAATTTGAATATCAATATTTTTTATTATATTATTTGAAATATATTATTTTATAAAGCGAGTAAAATTTGTCAAAACTTGACCTAAGTTTACAATATCCTATCAATCTTATATTTTTTAGTTAAAAAATGAATAAAATATTTAAATTTTTTAAAATTTTAATCGAAATTATACAAAAATTTATTAATTTTCAAAATGTACACTCTATCTTAAAAAAATATTTTTTATTAAACATTTAGATCTAATATTTAGTTAACTGTTAATATTTTTATCAACATTTTGACGTGATAAAAATAAAAATATAATTTTACTCTTTATTAATTTTTATAATTATCACTATATAATCTTATTTTTTTAATTTCTTTTTTTAAAATAACTTTCCATCTAAGAGCACCAGAGCTCCCCTTAAGAGCCTCGATTGGGCTCCCTAAGGAAGCACTGATGCTCACCAGATGGAGAGCCCGATGCTCCCTTAAGGAGCTCCGATCGAGCTCCCCAATGGAGGAACTAGTGCTTTTTTTTTAATTAATAAACAAAATAAAATATTTTAGTTTTTTCATAATTTCTGTCTTATTAAGATGAATTGTTTATTTTTAAAATTAATAAATTTTTACTAAATTTCGATCAAAATTTAAAAAGATCATAATATTTTATCTAAAAAAATTTTAAAAAAAAACTAAATTCACGTAATAAGATATGAGTTAGGTCGGAAATTTGTTGTATGAGTTGAGATTGATTTGACATATATACCTTGTGCATCTTTCGAAAAAAGAATTGGACCGTTGAGATCTTGGTACGTTTCACTCAAGAAAAGAAAAATGTTGAGACGAAAACCATCGCACTTGTCCTCAAGAAAACACGTGAGATTCTAACAAAAGCTATTTCAAAGTACAAATCTTGTCATTGGCTTGATACCTTATGGAATATGTTATAATCCAGTTAATGAAAAACAGTCAGCCAATGGCTAATGGCTTGATACTTAACGTCGAGTTTTATGTAAACCAGGTTAAATACCTTACGAGATAATCCAGTTCAACTAGCTACTTTTCTCGCGAAACGAGGGTTGCATTTTTTTTTTTCGTTTTGAAAGTTACAATTGAGAAAAATTATTTATTTGGTTATTTTTTAAATTATTTTTATTTTAAAGAAAATAAAAAATTAAATAGAAATTAAAAAGAAGGAGCCAAAAAGAATTATTTGAAAAATCATAATAATAAATCTTTTGTATAATTTAAAAAAAATCTTAAATTATTTATAAATATTTATTCTTATATTGCATTTAATCAAACTCCTATAGTATATCATTCTAATTAATTGTTAACTAATTATTATTAATCAAAATATCATTTATTATTTTTTTACATCATGTAACGTTAATATGCAAGATGAAAATATTACATGACCATATCATTATATTATAATATGTCATATTATCATTTACTTTAATATATTAATATATCATGTCAATATAATTTATCATAAAATGGTAAGTGATTTTGATTAATAATAGTTAATCAATTATTTCGTTTACTTAAACACAATAAATGAATGAAAGTTTATTTAAATTTTCTTGAAAAATTTAGGAGTTTTTAGATATTATATAATAACAATTCATATTTACTTTCCTTTTAATGTATAATTTTCTTCCTCCTTCCCTTTCTCTCTCTTTCTTCCACCATAGAACGCAGATCTTTTATACTCAAATTCAGATTCTCAATGTACTAAAAAGAATGCGAATTGATCGGCCAAATATGCACAGTTGATAATTTTTTCTCCCTAAATTGTTTTATATTA